TGGTCATTTTGTGATTGGATCATGATTGTTGTGATATGATTGGCCCATTAGGTTGCGTGTAGTCCATTTGAGGTAATCCAAATGGTTACAAGGCTTTTAGCACTAGGTTGTGAATTTTGGATGCCGAAATGTTATGGGTTGAAAACAGATTATTTTGGGTTTGAATGTCCAACTTTTTAATGGTTTATAATTTGGGTGTAAGACTAGTGCTGATAGCTAGAAGGCTGAAAGAGCTATGTATGGATACTTGAACTGCTCAAATTGGACATCGGATGGCGAAACGACACACTTCGGCCAGTAGTTAGTTCGGAGTATTATGATGACAGCAGTTTGCTATCATGATAGCAAGTGTGCGTAGTGATGCATTTGTCTAGCGAGAGCTTAACTCTATGTGCCATTCGCCGCGGTAAACAGTGTAATTTTTTGAATTTTTCCAGAATGTCTCATTTGTGTTTTTAAGTGCTGTTTTGGTTTCCATACTTCCAATATCTTGTATGATTTGTTTTAAACTATAATTTAAGCTTAAATGACTTTTAAAAGAGTTTTCTTAGAATTTCAACATTTTAAACTATTTACTTTTAAACTTTTGGGTTGTGATAACTTTCCTTAGGTATTTTTAACTAATCCGGGTTATCATAACAATATGTGAGAGTGTTGTCCTTATAATGTTAAGGCAGACATTACAAGCAATGGGTCAAGGGGTTGACCCAACCAGAGGTCTCTGATTAGGTTGTACAGGCTCTACCTAACTAAATTCCACTGAATTCGGAAAAATAGGGCATGGAGATCATCAATTCCAAGGGATTTGGTTGGTTTCATTTCAAATAGGGCATGTTTAACTTCATCCATTAAAATTATTGAACTCAAAGAAGCGTGAGAACATTCAGGGATCATCAAGAAAACACTTGATATCAAGTAAGGTGTGAAGACAGTATTCTCCAAGGAGTAAATATTTTTGAAAAATTCTTTAGTCATCTCAGAGAGCTGTGATTCGTCATTAACCTATTCCCCTTGCGATGAACGAAGCTATATGATTTGATTTTTTCTCTTTTGCATGAGCGCCTTGGTGTGGTAAAAGGAAGTTTTTCTATCACTCAAACATAGCCAAATAGAGGAAGATTTTTGAAGCCAAAGCAGTTCCTCCTGCAAGCAAGTGGTTTCAAATTCACCTCTCAGTGTTTGGTCTAGATCTATCAAAAATTCTGGCCTTCTGGGTGTGAGAAGTCTTGATTTCTTTTTGGATCCCCAAAATTCTCACAAGGAGGCATCTTTTTTTTTCCCCAAGTGGCCAAAGACTTGATTATTCCAATTGTGGGCTTCATAACAAAAGTAGGTAATATTATCCACAATAGGATTTTCAGCTACCCAAATCATTGAACTAGCCCAGCAAAGTCAGGATGACTAAGCCTAAAGGCCAAGAACCTTAGAGGTTTATTGGGTCGACTTGGTGAATCATTCAAGCCCAAATGGATAAGTGAAGGTCTGTGGTCAGAGAGAGTCTTGGGTAAACGGTCAACCCTACTTGAAGGAGAAGAGTTGATCCACGGAGCATTGCCCACAGCCCTGTCCAAACAAACCAATAGAGTACCGCATCTCCAAGTAAAGTTGGGTCCATTAAAACCCAAGTCAATGAGTCCATTGAGTATTCTTTGTCGTTTATAAGAACCCAACATCTGCTTTACTCCGTCACTCTTCTTTTCTTCATCGTTTACTGAAACTAGACGACTTATCTTTTACTGACTACCAATTTCTTGTGTAAATCATAATTTACTTTTTTGCAAACCAACCTATATATGTGCTACTCTTGAACCATGGTATTATATTTCCGGCAAACTCTTAAAACATTATCCAACAGAAAAAAAAAGAGAACAATTAATCTAGCTATTGTATAAATTTTTAAAGGAAAAACTACATTAAAGGACCTTTCAAGCATATTAATCACAAATAAAGACTATATGATTCTCAACTAACCTTTTTTTTTTTTTAAGTCTCCTCCCCAAGTCGTCTCTTGCCATTAGAAGCGGCCATGAGAAGCACACCGCACACCAACAACAGGCCGCCGCCAATGACCGTCTGGCAGCCTTTTAATCTCCAAGGTGGCCAAGGCCCTTTGGTGACCAAAAGGTCATGGAACCACCAAGCCATAATAGCTTCTTAATTATATCATACAAAATTCAATATATGTCGTATAAAAAAATTAATATATGTTGTCTTGTTAATTTTTAAATTTCCAAATCAATTACTTGTTTAAACAAGCGTCGTTTCATAAATTAATAAGTACTTAGTTATATTTAACAAGTAAAATCTGGCAGGATTTTATTGTAAAAAGGGATAAGTGTGTGACTTGTTTTAACAAGAAATCATTCATAAATTAATAAGTATCACTATGCATAAATAATGAGGTCACATGCCTCTTGTTCATGCACTCCTCGTTGAATGTCATCTGCTCAATTAGATTTTGTTTGTTGACTTTTTTTGGACCATATCGCATCTAAGTAGATACCCAGTCAAAATTTAATAAAATCACTTTTGCTTTTGTAGTATTCGTCTATTGACCCCTGTTACTTTGAACTAGATTTTTTTGGATCATTTTCCCTTCAAATGTTAAAAAAGCTAATCAGACATGTCCTGAAACATGTTCACTTGGATAATGTGTGGCTAAAAAATGGTCAACAAAATGCATCCATCTCAACAAATAATGATCAACAAGCAATGCGTAAATAGCAAGATAATGAGGAGTTGAATATTAACAGTTTAATGATAAAAATGATTCAAAATTAAGTTTAAGATAGCCACAGACTTTGTGATAGCCATAGATTTTAATTGTGAGATTTAAAATTTAAATCTATCAATCCAAACCTAAAATTCCAGTCATTTTGTATAATCTTGAACTGTCATTTTCCCAATCCATGTATGATTAATTACACTTTCATTATGTGAACGATGGAAAAGAAAAATTTGGAATATGAGGTCGCATTTGCTTCGTGGAAACTTCAGTGACGAAGACTGGAAGGGACAATAACCAATATATTAAATACTGAATGTAAAGTTAAATTGGAACAAAAAGAAAAATCATATTCGAAAGTTGTGAAATTGGAATCCATCCGTTTGCGGATATATCCTGGAAGTCACTAGAAATTCCAAAGGAAGCATGTTCATAAAAATAGCCTTGTTGGAATATAAATTGAGACGGTAACTGATCTCATTGGTAGTAAATGTTGGTAGTGAAGTATTAGTGCTAAAAGTTCATTTATTAAAAGTTTATATAACAAAAATTAGTTTAGTAAAAATTAATTGTTGTAATGAAATTTGTGTTTGAATGTATTTTTTTTTTCAAAAATCAGTTTGGTGAATTAAAAGTTGTTTAAATTATAATAATGAAATGTGCTTTTAAATATACAATTACTAAAAAAGATATTAATTTATAATGATTTATAGTTTTTGTTATACAAATTTGATATATTTAAAATATTTAAAAAATGTGATAAAAATTTTAAATAACATAAAATTTGGACTATCATGCTAAAATTTATAATCTCAAATTATTTGTAATTTTTTAATTTTTAATTTTAAAAAAATGTGATTTGTAATTTTTAATGCTAAAAATTAACATGATTAATTATTTAATTTATAATGTTAGAAACTTGATATCTAATTATTATTATTTAATGATAATTATATTTTTGATGAATTAGCTATTTTTTAAATAAAAGAATAAGATATTAAAGTTGGGGTAATATAATCAAATAGCATTTCACTTTTTAAATATACTTTTCAAGAGCACCATCATTTTAGATCCACCAAATGCACTTTTAATAATATTCTCAAAATACTTTTAAAATTCTCCTTATTTTTTTTTAAAATAACATCCCACATTTTAAATATAAGAAAGTAATTTTTAAAAGTTAAAAATGAATTATCCAAACACACGATATTTCCAACTCGTGCTTTGAGTAGCACTAGTAGTCCCCACAGTTAGACATAGCGTGTATGGCTGGGTCAATTGACAAATTAATGTGAATTGTAGTGTTGCTGGATCAAGTCTATCCCTCAATGTTTAGTCTATGTCAGTCACGTTCCAAGATGAGCTGTGTACAGAAGCAAATGAGATAATTGATTACATGAACCATGGAGCACTACTTACTGATGGCTCTCAGGCCATCAAATCAAGATGACTGGGGATAGAGCACTCAATTTCAATACCTGCTAGAAAATGCTGTCCCTCCTTCCTAATGTTTGACTTTTCCAACTTTGGTTTTGAAAGATAATTCATTTTGCCAGAATAGCTTAGCGGTTTACTTAGAAGGTTAGAATTTAGTGAAAGCTAATTCACCTTTAATTAAATAAACTTAATATACTAGGAGGTAATTAAGGTATTTTCGTAATGGTTGTTACTATAGTTGAGCAAGAATAGAGTGAGTGTGAGTGAGAGTGAGAGAGTAGGGCATCCTGACATGAGAACCCTGATCCCTAACGCTTCATAATTGATTGAATCACTGCTTGTTTTTTATTATTGTTTTATTTAACTATGTTCTTATAATATTTTATTTTATTCCGAAATTGAAAAATGTTTGCTTGTGAATAATAAATATCATTATTCTTTTTTGGGGTACTATCCCAATACCAAACAAGATTTTAATTACGTTGAACCCATACACTTGCAAGGCGGATCAAGTCTCAAGGTTGTCTTTTACCCAAAAAATAATGGTCTCAAGGTTCTGGTTGGAGCTCTGTCAACCGGTGGTGGATAAGTTAAATCTTAAAAAAAAAAAATTAAAATAATACAAGGATATTTTGTAACGGCACAAAAAACTTAATTACAATTTAGGCACTTGAGACTTGGCAGCAATTTGTGCAAATTAATGACACTTTAGGATAGTTGAAATTATTATAGGGAACTTGGCAGTAATTCTTCCTTGAATCAGTGGGATAAAATTAGGCATCTTATCAGAATTTACACATTTATTTCATCAACGATACTAAAATAATTAGTCAAGTGAAGCAGTGAAATTCCATAATAGTTTATATGATGCAGTTTCCAACTTTCCATTGAACTACAACAGTAGGCATCTAATTGAATTAACTGTGGTGGGAGCCTTGGTAACGACTTACATCACTTGCAATCATGCAGAAAAAAGATAGAGATCGGAAAAGACTACAAAAGCAACCAGTGGGCATATAATTAACCCAAAAAAAAAAAAATGGTCTTCGATCTAATACAATTAGTGCAGATAGACTACCAAAATCATCAGGAATTGATCCATCATTTAAACCACACTTGTTTAAAAGATAACTATTAATAACATTAGATTCAAGCTAGAAATTCAGCGATTCATCATGAGAGTCTTCAACAACTTGTCAACATCAAGAAGTTCTCAACTCCTCGTAAAATTAAAATATTCAAGACCAGTCAAAGATCCAAGAAATTTAGGAAATGTAGTTATCGCTGTATTTCTCACATCAAGATACTTTAAATTTTTCATACCTTCCCCAAATTCTGGTAGCGCTGGAACTTTTGTACAACACCGAAGATCTAATTTTTCCAGAGAATTTGTTTCCATTTTCGCTGGAAGACATATAAGATTTTCACAGAAAGACAAATTCACTGTGATCAGTAGTTTCAAATCTCCAAGCGAGGGATCAACCTCTTCAAGGAATTTGCACCCTTGAAGTATTAAATGTTCCAAATATGGAACCCCTGAGAAATCCGGAGTTTTGGTCAAATCTTGAGAATTGCTCAGATTGATGTATTTCAACTTCTTCATAAACTAGTCAAATAAAATATTGGAGAGTCAGTCTCACGAAATAATATATAAAAAACGTGGACACATACATTTTTAAGATCAACAATGATGCAAATGAAGCGTTGATCTTACATGTATGCCATCCCATAGTTGCTTAATTTTGCTATGACACATTTCAATGTGAGCAAGTTTGCCCAAACGAAGTGGGAGAGTTTCAAAAGGAAATGATGGCCATTGAACAACTTTTGCTGCGCCAATTAGGCATTGGACATGAGAAAGTTTCAATTTCTTTGGTAAGACGAGAATATCAGTATTCCATGATATGATAAGTAATCTAATATTACTCATCTTTGAAAAGGCTTTAAGGTGTACATTTATTTTTCCTGGTTTGAAATAATAATCTTGCATAACAATAGCTTCTATTGCTTCAGATCCCTGATAAAAATGTTAGTTGCCAGAAAAATAACATGAGAATTATAAGGAAGTAAAGTATACAAAAAGCATTAGATGCATGTCAGCAACGTAAGATATATTTATAAAATGAGGCACGCACCTTCTTGTTTTCCAATACTTCCTTAATATCCTCTAACTCCCACAACCTGCTACGCTTGCCAATATTGGGAGATTCCTGTTGAATAATATCCCTACCCAGTTGTCCAAGTAAATCATGCATCTCTAAAGTGGGATATCCCAATGAGGGATGTTCTGTTTCAACAAGCAGAGCTTTTTCAATCAAGGCCTTTATTCCAGTTTTTGGGTTTAGATCACAACCTTTCAAAACTTGGGTCACATCATCTTTTCTCCGTCCCCTGAAAAAACAAGCAATGTCCAAAAATATTGTCTTTTCTTTCTCATCCAATCCATCAAAACTTATTCTAAGTTGTCGAAGAATATCATCCTTTGGAGTTTGTTTCAATTTATCTAAAGCATCAGTCCAATCATCTTTAGGTCTTCCACGAAAATAAGAACCCAAAACTTTAAGTGCCAAAGGAAGACCTCCTGCACATGCAACCACAGATTCGGACAACTCCAAATAATCTTCTTCAGGATGATCTTTCTTGAATGCTTTCTTAGAAAAGAGTTGAAGAGACTCATGTTTCTCCATGGTTTTTATCTCATATATTTTCTCTCCACATGAGGTGAGCACATGCTTATCTCTTGCTGTGATAATTATTCTGCTTCCTTTACCAAACCCATTTGGACTTTCAACCAACTTCTCTAATGGACTCATATTATCTAAATCGTCAAGGACAAGAAGAACCTTTTTATTGCAGACAAGCTTTCTTATCATCTTCATTCCTGCATAGTCATCATGAATTTTTGTTTTTAGTCCAAGATCAAAAAGAAGACTTTTCTGCAAAGAGACTGGGCCTTCTTTTTGCAAAGTTTTTCTAACATTGGCTAGAAAGGAACACATTTCAAATCTGCCTGAGATTTCTTCATAAACAACTCTTGCAAGAGTTGTTTTGCCAGAACCGCCCATACCCCATATGCCCACAAAGCGAATGTCATCCAATCCAATCTCCAAGCATGACATTAGATCAACCATTCTTCGTCCTATGCCAACCAGATTATCATCATAAGATGGTAACTTGGAACATAAATATGTCCATACTGCTCCAACTACTTCATCAATAAGGAGCGCTTCAGGCCTATAAAATAAAACAATAATTCAAAATATGACTTTTCATGAATATTGTTGACTAAAACTAGACATATTGTGGCAGATAGCGCACGAATTGATCCAATGACCTGCCAGAATAAAAATTTCGATGATGATTTTCCAGAAAAAAGAAAATTATCAACAATTGTTTCTATAATTTGTGGTATATGAACTGTAATTCAATTAATTCGCTAATCATTTTAAATTTTATTAATCATTAAAAATGAATAAAAGTAATAAATAAAAATAAAATAATGGATGGAGATGTGAATAGAATTTTAAAATTCAAATATCTATTATGATCAAGCCAAAAAAAAGTAACAATATTTAAAAAATGGTCAAGTCATTTTGAAAAATAACTTACCGAAGTCTGGTGTCCCAACCAGACAAGTTGCCAATGTCAGACAAAGAGTTTCTCCAATTCGTCACTTTGTCCATGTTTCCTCTGAATCTCTCATGTTCCGACAGAGCCTCTCCAAATCTTTTTCTTTGATTTCTTACATCAGCTGGATCTACATCATAGAAGATGGGAAAAACTCGTCCACCCATTTCTTTCCTGCTTTCAAGAATTTGTTGTAGTTCATTCAAACACCATTTGGAATTTGCGTAATTTTGAGAGAGAACCACAACTGCACAGCGAGAGTCCTTAATTGCTTGAATGAGCTGTGCTGATATAACTTCTCCTCTCTCAAGTCCTTTATCATCTCTGAAAGTCCTGACCCCCCTTCTAGTGAGAGCATGATACAAGTGATCTGTAAACTTCAAGCGAGTATCTTCTCCTCTAAAACTTAGAAAGACGTCATATTTCCAAGTCGGAGTTGAATTAGAAGTACCAGAGGTTGAGGAAGATTCTCCCAGGGCAGTGTTCGCCATTACAGGGTCTTGATCTCTTCGAGGTTGTGCCCAAATTTGAAATCTGCACCATCAAAATCTGATCAATAATTGCCAATGAAAACGAAAAAAGAATATTATCAGACATGAAACCAGAACCAGTGGATGTAAAATACTCGCCGCACAATGCCTGGATGGATGCAACCCAGCTATGAATGTTGTTGAATGGATCTGAGATCTGAGTTTCCCCTCTAGTCTCTAAGTCACACTCAGTACTATGATTTGATGTCACTGAACTACAAGTTGTGGAGAGAAACCAGAGAGATATACAGTCACAAAGAAGGCCCACGCGAAGACCTGCTTTACCGGTCAATGACTTTGCTTTTTTCTATGTCGTTTGATTCACTCAATAAAAGTGTACTATTTCGTTTAATTTACGAGCCTATGGTTGGATGAGTGCGGGAATTAAAATAGCGAAAATTACAGCTAGGTTTAATAGAAAAATTTTATTATCAAAAGTTTTAATAAAATTTATAAAATACTCTCAACTCTTAAATCATGTACATTTATAAATTAATAAAAAATATTTATAATTAAATAATAGACATTTATAACTTATAATTACTTTTTACCTAATTGTAAATACCTTTTGTTAATTTATAAATATTTTTTATTAAATTGTAAATGTGCATATTTAAAATTTGAAAATATATTATGAATTTCATAGAACTTCTTAATAATAAAATCTTTTTCGTGAGACTTAACTATAATTTTTCATTGAAATATGATTTTCAAAGAAAGAAAGGTTGGATGAAGGAAAAACAACAAAAAGCCAAAAAAAAAAGAGGCAAAAAAAGAAAAAATAATAATAATAAAATTTTTTTGAATTATATAAATAATAATTTGATCGCTTAAAAGTCATAATTTTAATAAAATCTCTAAAGACCTTTTTGTCAATAACTTTTTTAATGAAAGGTCACAATTTTTGTTTAAAGAATCAAAACTTTTATTATGTAAATCACAAGAACTAAACAATGAATCACAACTTGTCAATTATAATTTTTGTTATTAAAAAATAAACCCTAATCACAACTTTTATTTAAGAAATAATAACTTTTTCTTTGTAAATTATAAAAATTAAACAAGAAATCACAATTTGTCAAATGTAATTTCTATTATTGAAAAAAGTTTTTAAAATAATAAGCCCCATTCATAACTGTTATTTAAAAAAGTACAATTTTTTTTTAAAGAATTGAACAGGAATCACAAATTATCAATAAAGATAAAATGATCTTTTTAATTTAAAATTTATTGACAAAAAGGTTCTAAGAGACTTCATTAAAATTATAATATTTTGAATAACTAGTTTGTCGTTTATATAATTTAAAAGAATATTATTATTATTTTTTAAAAAAAGAAGGGAAAATGACAATAAAATCTGAAATGTATAAATGGTGTAACACCCTCAAATTTACAAACCGATTTTTCGCAAATTATTAATTCAAAAAATCATTTTTTTTTCATTGAACCCTTATCATACCCTTATCATGGTAGAAAAATTTCTACCATGATACATCCAAGACAATATACCACAGGTCTTAAAATATCTCAAAAAGCAATTAGAACCATGAGGGACAGACATGATCCTCATAGCATGTTATTTAAATTAGGTCATGAATCAAAAGGGACAGACATAATCCTCTTGGACATATAAATGCATTTAATAAAAAGGATTAGAGTTTACATGCTCCATAGACAAGATATGTCCTAAGTTGGCACAAGATACATTGTATAATCCAAAATAAGAGGCAACGTAAAAGATGGTGTCTCATACACCATAATTACACCTCTGGTGCTTTCTCGGCCGGATTCGCTCCTGTAAAAATATTAACCACGGGGAATGAGACTTAAAAGTCCCAGTAACCAAAAATTAATATGTAATGATGCATGCGGATGTAACTAATCATGCGATTGCTAAGTGGGCACACAAAACATTTAACCGAACAATACTTTCAAACAAACCGAACAAGTATTTAATTTGCATGACTGCACCTTATATCCTCCTTTCGCCATGCTCGGACGCCAAATCACCCGGCCAAAGGTGAGTTGGACCAAGCGACACGCCACTCATTGGGTCCAATGAGGGCTTACCACGTGGTAATAATTAACCGAACAGAAATTCCCATTAACACCATACATTAAAATACCCTGACAAGTCATGCATCATTCAAATATCCAAACAGAAATATATCCGAACAATAATATCTCATCATGATAAACAAAAATAAATTTTTAACCCACTTGGCAATAATTTCAAACAAGTATATACAGTATTTATTTTCAATAATTCATAATTTTTCCAAACAACAAAACAACACATAACCATTCACAAACACACTCATCACAACACATTAATAATGGTTACCTTGTGTCTTGAATAACAAGCTCCCCTCCACAACTCCTTTTTCACCACTATCTTTGTCAATATAATCTACATAATTATTTCACAATACTATATATTAATTTTACATTAAAATAAATAACTCTAATTTAAAGAGTTAGAAAGTCTTAGATCTATAGTCCATATTAACACTAATTTAAGATTTATGCCTCATTTAACTTCCCAAATTCTTTTCTAAAATTCTCGTACCCTAATGAACTATTTTTTTTTATCCTCAATTCACTTCTAGTATCACAATTTCATCATTCTATATTCTAAAAATTCATCCAAAAATAAATTAAAAATTTTAGAATTATCCTGAAGCCTCAAATCACCTTTTTATAACCTCAAAAATACCTATTCATACTTAAATAAATATTTAATAATCATAGGTTTATCCCTACGTCTCAGATTCCACATAAATTCAACCATATAGATCTAGATTTTAACTCAAAAATTCTTAAACATGAGTTTCAACCTTAAGAAAATATTCTATAATATTTTTTATATCCCTAAAAATTTTAACCTATATTTTTAATCCATCATATCATCAGATTAACTATCCTATAGAAAAATCCTAATCAAAATATTTACTCTATCCTACAAAATAATCATATCACTAGAAAGCTAATATTATTTAGAAAATAACTATAAAATTAATTTTGTAATTAAATAAATTTTTAAATGCTAATCTAAACAGGAAAGTTAGAACATACCTGAAGAAAAAGAAAATAATCCCCCCTTGTGAGAAAACGCCGAGCAACGTGAGAGGAAGAGAGAAAAATAATATAAAAAAGGAATTGTGAGTCCCAAAATTATATTAAAAAAAACTATAGGTTTGAATTTAATTATTCAAACCTTTGGGCCAAAAGTTACAATTTTCTCTAAATTGCATCTTAGCCTCTCATGCTTCCTAATGCACACACCCCCTCCTTTTTATACATGAAAGCACCTCTTCTCTTCCCTCATCTAACCAATGTGGGACTTAGAAACAACAACCTTCTACCCCCTTTTGTTGTTCCTTCTACCTTCTCTCTTTTTTTTTTTCAACACATATATAAAAAAAATTATTTATGTATTATATCTTAACTAAATATTGCTTATGTGGTTTTAAATTTAAATTTTTAAATTCATAATTAAATACCTAACCATAATATTATTTCTAAATAACCTCAAATAATATAAATTCCTATTATTATCATCATTTTTTTTTTCTCAAAACCTAAATTCCACAATTTCTTTATTATATAAAAAATCAGGATGTTACAAATGGCAATTTGGTCCTCGAAATACAATAATTTTCTTAAAATTTTTAGGAACTTTCTTTAAATAGTTACAACTTTTATTTTTATATTCACAATGCAATAGCATGTTAATTCCTTATTTATTGTTGGATTGTTACAAATATAAGAATGAAAGTTAAGAATATTTAAATAAAATTGTGAAACATTTATTTTTAACAAGGTAATTTGATAATTTATATAAATTTATTAATAATAAAAAAAGTCTTTAGAAACTTCAAAGAAATTATGACGTTTTGAAGGATCCAATTATCATTTATATATTTCAAAAAAATTTTATTATTATTTCCTTTAAAAAAAAGGTTGGTGCTTCACAGGAACGGAAAACAAATTGCAGTATCTAATTGATTTATAAATTTATCCTTTTTATCCCTTCATTTATTATGGGTGGAATTCAAACATGGTTTGAACTAAATAAATAAAAAAATTATTTGTTTAATTATTCACTGATTTTATTAATTTTCACTGATTTGATCAATTTGAAATCTATGCGAATCAATTTGCAATTTTATTTCCAATGTTTTGAAATGGATCATGTTCTGGGTTATTGATTTCATTAATTAAATTGACCTGTCAAATTCAAATTATACTCCCTCTGATTCAAAATTATAATTTATTTTTAAACAAAATGTTATAAAAGTGTTATCATCTTTTTACCTCAATTTTAAATTATACTCAAATTCTAAAAAGTTTGGTTGTGGTTTATAAATTTTGTAAGACTTGATTATAAATAAACTTGCTTCACTAGACTTATACATAATTTTTTCTTTTATCAATATATATCCAATCTCTATTTTATTATTCTTGTCAGCATATTTTAGTAGTGTCATTTTTTCCTTCAATAATAAAGACGAAATCCATGACTTTTAACATGTTTATGGTGGAAGAGAAAACATTGAAAAAATGAGGCTCCATTTGCTTCCCAGAAACTTCTCAATGACAATGGCAAGCCACTATCAAATGCTAAATGCAATTTTAAATGTAAAAAAAATGTGAAAAAGAAAAATCAACAAACATTGTGAAATTAAAATTAGAAATGAAAATTAGAATGGGAGAATTGATGAAAAGGACCTAGTTAAAACAAAAACTATGCCCAAGGACCAATTGCATTTGAAGGACCATTTTGAATAAAATATTCATAAAACAATCTAACCAAGTGACCGAAATGCCACTCCTCTATGAGATGAATTCAAGTAAGATGATTTCTGGTGTAAGAAGTGAGTTGCAACTTAGATCCTTCATCTCTTCACGTGCGACTATACATGACCACCACTATATGACTCTTCTCTTAAAGGACTTTGACTCCTCTCTTCGCATTATCCAATCTATAAAGAGAAATTTGAACTTAGGTCTGAGGCTAGGCAAATGCCCTGTAACCATATCTATTATAACATTATTAACCTCTACAGTTTCATGTTATTTTATCACATTTTCCTTAGATGCTAATCCATTTTAGCTCAATTGTATATGTTTTTATTGCCCGAATTAGAAAAATGTGCATTTTATTTTAGGTTTGTATTGTTGGCTTTAATTTGATATTTTTGGCCTAATTTTATCTTATTTTGGTTGAAGACTTGATTTGAAGCATTTTTAGAGTT